AATAAAAAAAAATGTAATGTCAGTTTTCATAGAAATGTCAGCCAACTTGAATAGCGTTCAACACCACAAAAAATTCAACACACTAATCTTAGGTTGACTAATTATTTCCTTAAAATTGTAAGTAAAAATCAATGTGGTCCCAAATGTTTAAGCTGCACTAATAAGTGTTTGCACGTCTTAGTCAAAATTTAATTACATTTCAAAGCAAAAATCAAATTGAGAACTGATTTTTAAAAAAGACTATACACTTGTATAGGGGGGAAATGAGTGATATTACCCGAATTTACTATTAAAATATAGTGCTTTTGGATTTGTATTATATTTATGATTTGGGGTAATATATGGTTGACCCCCAGTGTCTATGTCAGTTACAGCACTGGTACTTTAGGCCTAAAGTGGGAAAAATTTTATGTTATATAAATACTTATTGAAGCAAAAAAAGTTATCTAATACCAACTGGGCCTGTAAACCCTCATATGGTTCTCATTTCCTGTTTACACTAATGGTATTTGGGGTCAATATGACCCCAAAATTGAAAGAGTAATTGTAAAAAATATATACATTTTTAATCATACAAATAATATATCTTTTTTGTTTGTTTGTTTACTTCTCATCTATACATTAGAGCTGTGGTTTGGGAGATATGAAGTACTTTTGTAACTATTTACCACAAAAATCCTCAACTACACCATTAGCTTGCATGTGAAATATTACATTTTCATGAAAAAGCACTTAAATGATGATCTAAATTTAATTTAAGTTGTTTCTGGATATTGATCTAGGTGTTAGGTGTAGAATTATGTCATCTGCTGGTTAGAGAAAAACTTGTAGAAATTACAGTTAAAATATTGTGTCATATTTTTTCAATCTAAAAAGTAAAATCAAAACAATTTTATTTTACTTAAATGTAAATAAAAACCACACTCAGCCCACAAAACAACTGCAATAAGCAGATATGAATGGTGGGGGGGTGTGTGAGAGGGAGAGAGTGTGTGTGTGTGTGTGTGTGTGTGTGTGTGTGTGAGATTTATTTTGACAAATGAAAAAAAAAATAGAGATTTTTTCGCATTTCCCATTCATTTCAATGTGGGGTCATATTGTCTAGGAAACTGCATTCATAATGGGGTTCAACAGGACTCAACCAGGCCTGATTACTGCCAACCCTGTTCAATTAAATCAACACTTAAATATAACTTTTTCAACAGAATGAAGTTGGTTACCCAGTAACACCCTATTTAAGAAATTCCAGAAATTATGAGGAACAAGGTGCCTGAAATACATTTCAAAGCCTCTTGGACTCCAAAGAACCACAGAGCCATTATCTCATTTCTAGTCAGTTGAGAGTTTAAAGGGGGGGTCTAATGCTATTTCATGCATTCAGAGTTATTTACACTGTTAAAGAGTTGGATTGAAACACCTTGTTATAAACAAGGCCCAGTTCGACGCTGGATTTGCAGATTTTTTGATACTGAGTAGTCGCAGCGATAAAATATCCCAGGCATGAGCTGGAATCGCAGGCGGTGAGTAAAACTGCATCAAATTTCTGTGTTTTGTTGGCAATCGGCGCACAAGTTCTCGGGACTCTTTAGCTCCGCCCACAGCACACCTCCAGGAGCTCGGCTGTTTTCAGAGAGAATCGTAAAGCTGTATATTTCTTTTATAAATCTGATAAAACTAAAGACTCTTCTGAGATATGAAGGATGCCATACTACTATATAGGTACTCAAGATTAACATGAGATTGGCGAAAATGTGTGTTATGTCCCCTTTAAAGTCTCCCTATTATGCCTTTTTGAATATTACCTTTCATGCAGTGTGTCATGTAGCTGTATGTGAACATAAATTATCTGCAAAGTTGTGAAACCGACAGTGCATGATAAATAAAGTTATTGTCTATCAAAAAAAGAGTTGGAACGCAATTGCCTAAACGAGTCGTCAGGAATTTGAATCTTATTCTGTTACGGCTGTATGTCATGAAGTAACACAATTAACACAATGTCCGCCCATGTTCTACGTCGCCAACTTGCCCACCCACAAACACAGTAAAATTTCCGTGTGGTTAACATCATGTCGAGAAGACGCTGTATCCTACGCTGTGAGAGTAAAAATTTTTTTATCACATCTTATAATTACCACAAACTTGTTAACACTTGACACTTACCACTGAGAAACATCCTGCTCCAGTCGTGCTTGCGAATCAGTCTCTTGTCGATCAGCCACTTCAACCGTTTCATCATCAGACTCCGGCTCGAATTGGTAAGGTACAATTCCTGAATGATGATTTATGAGGCTTTCAAAAGAGATTCAAGGCACAGGAATAAGTCCACCTCTGAAAAATTAATTTTTGGAGTGGCCTAGTCAAAGTAATGACTCAATTAATTCAATTAAGACGCTGTGGAAGGACCTTAAATGGGTAGTCCATGCTCAAACCCTCCAATATGGCTGAGTTAAGCAGTTCTGCAAAGAAGAGTAGGTCAAAATTCCACCACTGCACTGTGAAATACTGATCCCCATTTGTCGGAAGAGTTTGGTTGCAGTTATTGTTGCTGAATGTCAGTAGCGTGTTTAGGCACCATGCAATTGTGTGGAGTCGAGGGGCCCCCAAAACTCTAAACATGCCCCTGCTAAAGGTGGCACAAGCAGATATTAAATTTAAGGGGGAAATTAGGGTCATAGGTGACAGAACACTCCCTTTAAGGAGCGGATTCCAGACGCTACACAATCAGAAACATGAAACAAAAGAGGCAGAACTGGGGGAGGGATGGTGGGCCAGGCCCGTGGAGTGGAGGAGGGCCTGGAGACTGTGGCAGAGCAAGCGACCAGGGCGGAGCCGCCAGAGCAGGTAGCCAGGGAAGAGCAGACAGAGCAGGGAGCCAGGGCGGAGCAGGCAGAGCAGGGAACCAGGGCGGAGCCGACAGAGCAGGGAACCAGGGCAGAGCCGGCAGAGCAGGGAACCAGGGCAGAGCTGAAGCCCACCAGGGAAGAGCAGGCGGAGCTGAAGCCCACCAGGCCGGAGCAGGCAGAGCTGAAGACTACCACTGTGAACCAGGCGGAACTGTAACAGACAGCACGGAGAGGTTAAAAACGGTCTCTGCAGCCGCAACATTAGGCAGACAGGTCAGAGAGTTCAAGAATTGTCTCTTTGACAGGACAGGTGAAAAGCTCAGAGATGGCCTCTTTGGCCGTGACAGGGCAGACTAGGGGTTCAGCAATGGCCTCTTTAGTCGAGATAGGACAGGCAGGAAGCTCACAGGCTGGAGCCAACACAGAACTGAGCTCTGGGGCTTGAGTGAACTGAAGCGGATTCTTGGACTGGAGTGGGCTCTGGAGATGATGCCGCTGCCTCCTCAGAGGAAGTGTGTATGGCCCAAACACACCAGATAGCAAAACCCATTATGGGGAATGCAGCAGACAGAGGAATAGCTTTAGGGACTTCAGGACTTTGAAGCATTGAGAGACCGCAGTGCTTGAGAGTACTGAGGCCTCGATGCTTGAGAGTGCTGAGGCCCTTGGAATGCCAGCTGCTCTGGCTGAAAACAGCAGTGGGTCCGCCAAACTGGAAACCAGTCTCAAACGCCTTGTGCCCACCTTAATGACATCATGTGGCACGTTCATGATACCCAGGAACACTGAAGTGGTATCCATGATGGCTGAAGACTCTGGTGTGGCGGCCATGATGGCTGGAGACTCTGGACTGGCGGCCATCCTGTGAAGAGGCTCTGGACTGGCAGCCATCTTGTGAAGAGGCTCTGGACTGGCAGCCATCTTGTGAAGAGGCTCTGGACTGGCAGCCATCTTGTGAAGAGGCTCTGGACTGGCTTGAATAAACTGTAGACAATGGCATTTTCTGACATGACATACATTATTTGTGTTCAGAGGTATTACTTAAAAAATCATTTCATAGAGACGATGATTTGAATATCCAAATATCTATCTTCTTTGATAAACATTTTTTTTCAATTTCTGATTTATTAACTGATCTTTCTGATTAAAACAGTAAATTAATACATTTAAAAGAAAAAGGTAACACTTTAGTATAGGGGACCAATTTTCACTATTAACTAGTTGCTTATTAGTATGCCTATTATTAACATATTGGCTGTTTATTAGTACTCATAAACCACATATACTGCATGACCATATTCTACATCCCTAATCCTACCCAACATCACAAAATTATTTAATTAAAAATTAGGAGTTTATTGAGGCAAGAGTTGTAGTTAAAATGGTTTGTTAATAGAGAGAATTGGACCTTAAAATAAAGTGAAAAACGTAAGAATTTTGGCATAAGTACAGTAATAAAAAAGAGCTGTGATAAAAAAAATGCTGAATTTTCAGCAGCAATTACTCCAGTATTCAAGTAAGCCAGTGATATTCGGTATTAATGTACATTCCACTTTAATCCTACAGCAATTTTTCTTGGAAGCAAAGTCATGTAGTTGGATAATCACACAAGCCTTTACTTAGCAGATGACACACTCACCTTGGATTACACACAGCTGGAGGATGTGGCCATGCATATTGCCAGAGAAACAGTCAGGCCATTGTTCTGTGCAGCAAGGACACAGTAAAGAAAATATTTGCAATTGACACAAAATATAAAATTGTAGTGAATTTTAACCTTGTTTACAACATGAGCTACACACACTGAGAATGGTGCAGTCAAACTTTAACAACTTGCATTAAAGTTGGCTTACACATAACACACTAAGACATTTCTAATATTCAAATCCGTTAAAGGATTTTTAGGCTGCATTAAATAGGACAACCGGAACCGGGAACACTTCCCATAACACCCGATTTACTTGCTATCTTTTGGCATCTACGCTAATATTAGTCTGTTTCTTTCTTATTCCGAGGTCACCGTAGCCACCAGATCCAGTCTGTATCCAGATCAGAAGGTCACTGCAGTCACCCGGATCCAGTACATATTCAGACCAGATGGTGGATCAGCACCTAGAGAGGACCTCTACAGCCCTGAATGTCAGCGGAGACCTAGCATTTAGCATTGTAGCAAAGTGTGTCCAAAATATGACTGGTAGTGTACTTCACAACATAAGACACACAGAGAGGTATTTGTAAGTATTAGTTTGGCACATTTGAGTGGTTTGGCACAACTATTTGGGAGTCTACAGAACAAAGTCTGAATGTTAGTTTAAAAGTCGTAGAATAAGCTATTTTCTATATGTACAGTAAGGAAAAAAGACATCCCTTTAAATTCACTTGAAACTCGCCACTTAAGCTGAAGCAACTCTAGCGTAAAAAGGCATTTTGCAACCTCAAAAAGGCACATTTATCAGGGGGGGTGGTTTGAAGCTGGAGTCCTGAGTGCATATTGTCCAGTGCAGTGGTGTCACATTTGGCTTTGGCAAAGCTGCGGTGAAGGTATTTGTGGGCGATTTTTGATGACTCCAGGGCAAGTGGGGTGTCACTTCAAGCTGAAATGTAAAGCACAATGTAAGTGTGTGTGCGCGGTTGAGCGTTCATAAACGCGATGCATCAAAAGTTGTTCAATAACATCAGGATATTCCCCCAATTATGCTGTTGATTGCCACACAAAAAAAAGAAAAATAACAGAAAAAAAGGAAAAATGTGTTTATAGCAATATGTTTACAATATTGCAGAGTTTAAATCATAGGCGTCATTTATAGTGCGGCCCACGACAACGGCCAATTTTGTCCTCAGCACTTTATGAGTAGCTTGCGGCAGGGTGTATCTAATATATAAGGATCATCTCCAATTGTAAAGATTTTCATTTCAATTCATTAGTGTGTGTCATTTTTAATGTTTTGCCGAGTGAACATTACACTTGTTATTAGTTTCCGAAAGTGACAGCCGCAATATTCTCTCGCAGCTTTCAGATGTATCTATCTGTTTCTATGAAATCACAAAACAAAATCCAAACAAATGCATCACCACCCTTGACATTCACTGACGTAAACCTTTGGTTTATTAAAAAAAAGTTATTTTATACCGGGTCACAACCCAGAACCCTCGATGCAAAAAGGGCCAACAAATCATGCTTGACATTCACATGCTGATCCATGCATTTATTCACTGACCTATAAAATAACATAAAATTACCTATAAAACCCTGAGACGGACTGCGGCAGAAATATGGATCAAATGAAATATTTCACAAGCTCATGTGAGCATTTAAAATGGTCAGCAAGAGTCATTTCCTGCTCAAATCACAGTGTAATGAGAAATTGTACTAACATACCCATTGTACTATTAAAATTGTTGTTTACATGCTTTTTGAATCATTATGTTATTCATTTCATCAATACATCACATCGACTACTCATCAAAACAGTAAAAGCTCATGTTAAATTATTTGTGTGTAATTCATATTTATGAGTTAAACATCTGTCATTTTTGACTTCACAACCAGCATGTCTGTGTATTTATTTGTGCTTCAGCCCGCTTGCCTGCTAGGTATTCAGTGTAAGGGCATTACTGTAAATATATTGTTTGGCCATTTATACAAATATCTATTTTTACTTTTGTACAAATTTATATAATAATACACAATGTTGTTATATAATCATAATCTATCATAATATAATCATAGATCATATTTATAATGCCAAAAACATCATGATAAAAACATATTTGAAAATTTGTACTTCTTCTATAGCTGTATTTGACCATTTGCCGGTGCTACTCTAATGTCTCTCATATTACTCTATGGTCTCTCTCTTTTCATACTGGAAGATACAATTGGTGCCACCTTGCGACTCAAGACAGTAAGACATTTATTTGTTAAGTAGCCATGTAATAAATGGGAAAGTGTATAGCCAGCTGGTCATTATCACAAAATAAATCCCTTTGCTTTGCTGGTCACTCTGTTGTGGTTTATTTTGAGACAACGATCAGCTGGATGTAAATGATCCCTATTAGCAATATATTATTATATACCTTCATAGTAAATCAGTTTTTTTGAGGTCCACTAATAATGTTAGTTTTCAAATTTTCAACCTCTTTTATGTCACCATTTCCTTAGAATTACACAGCCAATTTTTACTGTTATACCTTTAAACACCCTCTTTCTGTGTTAAATGAACAGAAGTATTTTGAGCAACTTTGATGTTACTCAGTAGAGCTTCTTGTTTATAAGTACTATCATCTATCCTGCTGACTGCATGGGCCAAATTTCTGAACACTGAATTTGAGTATCAATAAAGATTTAAGCTATTAAAGTTACAGTAGCTTTTTTACAGTAGGCTACTCAATGAACTCTTCTATCTTAAAAGATAAATATAAATCTGTGAAACTGTGAGATAAAAAATAAAGGATATCTTAATGCTACAAACACAGCCAGTCAATTTAAGCCAGTATGATTTAGGAAATGTAAGCATGTCATTTCTGACAGGATCTTTCTTTTAAACAATCAGCTGTCCTTGATTCACCAGACTGACCAATATCATCAGTCCTAGACACTTGCGTTTTATACTCTAGCACAGGGTTCCTCAAATCTTGCCCTGGAGGTCCAATGCGCTGCAGAGCTTAGCTCCAACCCTGATCAAACTCAGCTACCTGTGATTTTCTAATGATCTTGAAGACATTGATTAGCATGCTCAGGTGTGTTTGATTAGGGTTAGAGCTAAACTCTGCAGGAAAGTGGATCTCGTGGGCCAGATTTGAGGATCCCTGCTCTAAATAATTTAATGTGATAAATGATATACAGATGCCTGCCTATACAATTAGGGGCTGAGGATGTAAGAGACATAATTTGAATAATTAAAATTTAACATTAAAATTAGAAGTGCTCGAGTAGATATTATTTTAATGTGTTTAGATTTATATGTACATTTGTTAAACACACCCCATGTTTATTCTGTAATGGTTTGCTCTGTTTTATTATTGGACTGCCTTTAATCACCCTTGGAGTCTCTACTAATGAGCTGATGACCTGAATCAGGTGTGTTTGATTAAGGAGACATGCAAAATGTGCAGTGTTGGGGTGCCTCCAGGACCAGGGTTGGGAACCACTGTCTTACAACACCACCAAGTGGCAGAGAAAACCCTATTACCTGTGTGGGAAAATCCGGGTCCAAAATCCTCTGCTTCAGGACACTAGTCTTCCTGTGAATGACAGCAATCACACAATTAACTGCATACCGTCCCTAGATGTGCCATAAATGCTTCCTGTATAACGTGTTTGGCTATAATCCCAATTCATTATTCATTGTTTTGGTGTAGCCTGGCTCCTAGAGGTAAACTATGCAAGTCTGCACCAAAAACTATGAGTTGTTAATCAATCAAAATGCAAGTGCATAGATTACACATTTTAATAATTTAGTTATTTTCAAACAGCATCAGCAGTATTGAATCAGTTAAACGTTACTAAATTATTATGAGAATTTTTTATTTTTTTTGCAAGACACAAGGCTTTTTTTTCTGTTTAAAGTATTGCAAAGCATCTAGATTATATGGAAATAATCTGTATATGCCGTAATATAATTAGAAGCAAGGCGTCAGAGAGTTGTACACTATTCATTTTTCTATTTCAAAATTATCAAATAAATTCTTTTTTTGGATGTTGTTGATTGAGCTTGCATTGTATTAAACTTAGAATATTCCTTTAAAGCCTGCTTTGTGTGGCCAATACACTACCATTGTACCCTAACATCTCTTTAACACTGACTCTCACTCGCTGAAAATACCCAATGCTAAGATAACTGAAAAACACATTACAGCATTTCCTTTTTACTCCACATCAAAACACCATTCGCTACATTGGCTTCCCATCTGGATGTCAACCATGCCATCCTGAAAGATCCTGCTTATCTCAATTCGACATTTTCGAACCAACGTGCATTGCATGCTGATGGTCTTGCTCAACATCTGACAGAGGTTCTTAATGCAACAACATCATGATTAACATACTCTTTGATGCATACTACTGAGCAATGCATTTTCACAGTCATGCATATATTCCATAAAAAAGACAGGAAGACCATAAAAATAAAACTGAAGCCCTAAACCCCAACAGTATTTGGGGCCATCCAGATGTATGATGTTAAATTATAAGTTGATAAATATTTTCTATGTCTTTATTGAACACACTGACCCAGAAATTACCATGGCAAGCATTTTAAACTGTTAAAGTGTTCAATAAAAATCTTATTTTTGTGGTATATGTTTGATCAAGTTAAAGCTGCTGTAAGTGATGTTAGCCGTCCTGCTGCTTTCTGCCAGTTGTAAGTGAATTAGATCCCCATTTTCTCTTAAAGGGATAGTTCGCCCAAAAATGAAAATTCTGTCATTAATTACTCACCCTCATGTTGTTTTATTCTGTTTCCAAACCCCACCCCCTAAATACTTATCTGCAAATCTAATGTCAGTAAACTTCAACATGCAAAATGACTGACAGGTAGAATGGCATATCCAAGATTTCTGATTGGCTAACATGTGGGCACTTTAAAGCAAGTCATTTCACTTGTGTTCAATTTTAGTTTTCTTCTAAGGAATTTCAGAGAAAAACCTCTGTTTGAAGTTGATACTGGATAGACTGGTGTGATTTCTCAGGACAGCTATTTCAGTGACAGATAGCAGGGACACTTGCAGCAGCTTTAATCACTGTAACAGAGAGTTTAAATTGCTTAATTTTTTTTTCAAGCAATTCAGTCACACAAATATGAACGCAAAACTTATTCAGATGCAAGTGGGTAGTCCAGTGGTTCTCAACCTCCCTGACTATGCTCAATATTATATGAGACAATTTAGACAATATAATATAAAGACTAGTATATATATCTCCAGGGTTTCTGAACATTTTCAGGCTTTACAAAGGTAAATTCAAGACTTTTTAAGACCATGTAAAGAAAATGTAAGGAATGAACTGAAGGGAACATAATATATCAATATGTTCTCTAAATGTAAATATCTAGGGAGCAGAAAATGAGTTTTGAAAATTGTTGAAAATTAGCAACACTTCGAACAGATTACTTTTACAAAACAAAATGCTTAAGGCTTGAATACCTGTGCTCCCAACCATCAGAAGATGGAAATAACTTTTACTGTACTTTCTGATCACACTGCAAAAAAAAAGTGATGTTCTTCCTCAGTATTATTTTGTGTTTTCCAGTGCAAATGTTTAAAGATTCTTAAATCAAGATACATTTATTTGAGACACAAAAAATGGCATAAGATAAGCAGACTAGTTTTCTGTGAAATTGATCAAAATTAAGTTTCGAGTTTATGATTAAAACTAAAACAAATATCTGCCAATAGGCTTATTTTAAAAGGGAAAGCATACCTCATTAGCAGATATTTTTCTTGTTTTAAGCATAAACTCACTTAATTTTGTTCACATTTTCAAGACTTCATTTTACATTTGCATCACAAGTAAATGTATCTTGATTTAAAGCGTTTTAGATATTTGTATTGAAAAAAAAAAATACTGAGAAAGACAGGAAGGAAGATTTTTTTCTCTCTCTCTCCGATTTAAGACTTTTTAATGGAAGGGCAGATTAAGACTTTTTTAATACCCGCAGAAACCCTGAAATTAAATTAAGAAATTTGATTTCAGCTTACATCTTGATTTCGAGCCATTTTAGCATATTTTAAAACCTTGTTTTGTTTAACTTCAAATCATTTTAAGCCATATTGCGGTCCCCATGGAAGTGTGCTGAGGCCCCTAGTGGGCCCCCTGGTTGAAAACCACTGACACAGTCAATCTGAAAGATGCACCGTTGCCCCTGACCTCCACCGACCACAACATGCTGAAACAAGCTGAGAGTACCTCTGAGGCTTGCTCCTCTTCCTCCTGCGATGAAGGAATTCAGTATTAAAACAGAAGATAATGCATCAATGTATGTCTGAGTGACACAAACAGCTACAGAGGGAGGTTACGCTACACCCAGATTGAATTCTCTGAGCGAAAGCTACATGAGGACGAGCAGTGGAAGAGAGTTTGAGGGGACGTGTGTGTGTGTGTTTCCACAATAAAGAAAGATCCTAAAAGTGACAGCCACTGGAAAGAACTTCCATGATTTCTGCTCCTGTAACATAAGTGAGGGGTGGAATGACTGGACGAAGGAAAAGAAAGAAAGAATTCGGAGAAATGAGAGAGAGGTGGAGAGCTAAGCAGCATGTGTGGATGAAAGGGAGAGCAGGTGATGATCGTGGAGATCGTCTGCAAAGTTCACTGCAAAAGAATGTGCAAAAAGCTGAAGTGTCTGTAACCTTGTCACAAAAAAGGCACGTAGCTGGTTAGTGCACTTGCTTCAACACACTGAGTAGTGCTCATATGGGTGATGTGAATAAATCTGGCCCGCGACCTTTCCTGATCATGTGCCATCTTTGCACAACATGATTGCTTTAGTATTCAAGAGATTCATATCAGTCAGGATTATTTGTCTTTGTACTTAGTAGCATTTATTTTTTTTAGAAACTGTTAATGTGTCTGTCAGTGTATAACCAAATGTAGTTAAATAATGCAGAACATGCACATTATGTATACCTATGAAAATTAAAATAAAGAGTTGTAGTGTTTCAAAATTTTTGATTACTAACATGCTTTTCATTTGAGGTAGTGTTTGTTTTAGCTTTTGGGCTGTGTTTGTTTCTCACTAGGTAAAGAATAAAACTAAAAACATAAAATTTTTTGTCATATTGACTAATACAATTCTCAGGTTATGACTGGAAATGCAATAATAATAAATCATAATGGAAATGGAATATAGGCCCAGGTGTTATTTTAATTCTAATTACCACATCAAGTAGTGCAAATATTTGCTCTGATGATGATTTGATTAAAGATTTTTTTCTAAATGCATTGTGCAATGTGAAATTTGGTTAATGGGTTGGTTCGATTTGAGTATGATTTATAATTCTTTAAAAAATATGTTCTAACTATTTACACTACCGTTCAAAGGTTTGCGGGTCTGTAAGATTTTTTTATGTTTTTGAAACATGTCAGTTGAAACATGCTCAAGAAATGTGTCTTATTATTAAACATCTGATGAATATTTTGGTGGAAACGTTTGATTCTTTAATGGATAGAAAGTTCAAAAGAACAGCATTTATTTGAAATAGAATTTGAAATGTATTGTCTTTACTATTACCTTTGATCAATTTTATGCATCCTTGCTGAATAAAAGTCTTTTTCAAAATAAATGTACTGCCCCAGGTTGTACCCTCACAAGCTCAGCCTTTGTACTTTTGATAAAAAATTAACATATAATACAGCAGGTATAGTAATAGCAATTACAATCAATTATGAAATGAATAAAAATGCAGCTACACTTTATTTTACTATGTCCTTGTTACAGTGTAATTGTACATTCATGTACTGAGTAATATTAATTATCAGCATGTACTTACTATAGGGTAAGGATTAGGGTTTTCCTTAGGGTTAGTTGCATTTTTTTTAAATTAAAAGTATGCATAATTTACCTTTTTAGACCTAACTAAATAAGGTAAATTTATGTCATGTTATATAGGCCAAGAAGCAGCCAGAGACTCACCGCGCCTTCAAAAAAATCCAACTGAAGTGCGTGGACCAAAAAAGGTTACCCAAAGATGAAGAGCTTGAAAAGAGTCCGCACATTCAAACATTAAAGCATCACAAGCGAGATGAGAACGATATATGCAATTTACTGAATAAAACAAGGCAAACGTTTCGGTCACATGTTGACCATTTTCAATGCCAAGCTAACAGTGTTAGAACTAGAAGCCATCTTAATTTAAGGAATCACATGATAATTAAAGAGATCACATGATCAATCAGGACACACACAGAGAGAAAAAAATAAAAAATAAAAATTAAAAAAAAGGCCACAATGTGTGTATATGTAGAGCAATGGATAATTTACATCAAATTAGAGAACAATGGTTGTCTGTTGGAGTTAACAAAAGTACTGTTCATAAAAAACAAGACAATTGAAGTTCTTCATTTAATCCCTTCGGATATACACAGTCCATATAATAGATCCACTTAGCTTCACATTGTAACAGTCTTTTGTTAGAATCACCACCTCTTCTTGAACTGATCAATCTCTGAATACCTGTAAATCTCATATCACTAAGTTTATGGTCAGCATCCACAAAATGTCTGGCTACAGGAGAATGAATGTCCATCCTTCTAATAGAGCTCCTGTGCTCGTTGATACGGGTCTTTAATTGACGATTAGTCTTGCCAATATACTGTAGACCACATGGGCATGAAATAAGATAAATAACAAAAGACGATGAACAAGTGATAGTCTCTCTAATTTTGAATGTTTTCTGAGTGGTGGTGCTAGTGAAAGAATCCGTTTTAATTGCATTTTCACAAGCTGAACAAATCCTGCATGGGAAGAAGCCAGTGGAATGATCCAAAGTCACATATTTGTTCTCCTTAATGAAGGTATCCGAACTGACTAAATGATCTCTTATGTTACGTCCCCTATAATATGAAAAAAGGGGAGGCTCCTTGAAGATTCTGTATCCGATATCATCAGCTCTCAGAACATGCCAGTGTTTATTGATGATAGACTACATAATAGTTATATAGGCCTACATTATTCACCGATGGGTTGGAGTGAATCACTTATGTCTCCGAAAACAGAGACAAAATCTTAAAGAAAAGGAAAAAAAAAACATGTATCAATCTACCTCAAGCTCTCGGAGTTCTTCTTCCTCCTAGAGGGGAGAACAGACTGAATCAGATGAGAGGAACGAGCTAAAGCTGAATAGAGCAACATGAGAGACACATGCAACTGGACAAAAAGATGGAGAGAGAAGAACGAGACTGGCAGGAGGCAGCTAGAGGAGAGAAGTCAAACAGGAGGTGAAAAGGAAGAATGAAGGCGGAAAATCAGTGGCCAAATGAGGGGGGGGGAATGCAAATCTTGAGACACTTCTCATCAAACCCAAGTTACCTCAGACACCAACTCATCTTCTGCCTAGAACAAACAGGTGGGCAAAGAGAAGAAGGGATAGAAAGAAGCTTTTAACTAGCTGAATTTGGACAAAAGAAATAGAACTGATAAACTGAATTCAGTACTTTCCAGTTTAGTGTTCAAAACACACCAGACTGTCATTGAACAGCAGGTGTGCTATCTGATTTCATTCAATACCTATATTGATAATATATATATATAATATCAACGTGATCTCATGATAATTTGTATGTATTTTACGTAAAATGTGGTACTATAAAACGTACATTTACTTATGTTTTTACAGGCACTAAAACGTACAATACTGACATATTTTCAGCATTTAAACGTACAAAACTGACGTATTGAGACACCTAAAAATGAATCCTTATGAATATTGAAATC